TCTCCTTTATCACACGATTTTCATTTTCATTTTTGATTTCTTTTTTTTATTTTTCTGACTGAATAAAGCGGTATTTAAATATTTAGAATATTAAAATGTTGAAGAAAAAAGCACTCTTAAATTTAATTTTTCCTCTATTTTTTTCTTCAAAAAAAAAAATAAATAAATAAATGAACGAATAAAGGGGTTAAACAGCAGGTTAGCGAAGAGAATATTGTGAAATATACAGAGAGGTAAAATAATATAAGAGAAGAGAAAAATACAATTTAACATCTGTTGTCATTTCAGTAATATTATCACAAAGAGTAAATGTATATGTATGTATGTACGTATATACATTTTGTTTTGTATTATCCGTCTTAATGCTTACACATCATATGACATATTCAACACAAGAAAAAAGAACACATGTAATGTTGTAATAGCAGGGTGCTCAGTTTGGTACGACTCTTTTTCTACTTAGCAGTAAAAATTAAATAATTAATTGTAATTAAAAAAGTATTTGCTATTAATTTAACGAAAATAAGCAAGAACATAAGTGAATGATTCAAAAAATCCCTCTTGCTATTTTAATAACAAATGATTTTTACAAATTTGATTTACAATTCTAGATTGAATATTAGACTCAAATAAAGAAAATTGTGAAGAATTTTGATTCGCTCTTTGATTATTAAATAAAGCAGCTCTTCCATAAAGTGACTCCATTTCATAATCAAATATGCATGTCAAAATTATCGAAACTTTCATTTAATTTCTCCAGAATTTGCTTAATATCAAAAAAGGACAAATTTTTATGATTTGTAATTGGAATTCAATAGTAAATCATGAAAATATAATTTATTTTAAATAACAACTGAATCATGGTATTACATTTAAGAATACATTGATTTTCATAAAATTGTTTTCAAAAGTATTCAAGTTTTGCTTCATTAACAGGTTCCTGCGAGTACGGAATATTCCTACAAATGACTACGTGTAAATGTGAATAATTAACACGAAAGAACTCTGAGAATAAGTAGTGAAGATATGCATTCAAATTAAGAACTACAATAAGGTGGCGGAGCTTAAAAGATGCGCTATTTATACTTCCAAAATAAAATGGAAATTTTTAAAATACATAATGTTGTTGAATTTTAAATACACACATGTATAATAAACTCATGAATTTCGACGATTATACGTTGTGATTTTAATTTGCCACTTCTTCAGCACACTGTTTTGTAGTATTTATACAAACAATAACATGTGTTTGTAGTTAATATATGATTTAAAATGTAAAGAACGTAGGGAAAATACACATTAAACGTTAATTTTCAGTTACAGCACATAATAGTAGGTGTAAAACTAAATATTAAGAAAAAAAATATATCATTATTTATTCTCGTTAGAAAAATTAAATTTCTTGGTGTACGGCTGTGACATATTTATAATAATAATCAATTTACTATATTTTATAAACAACATTAATTTTATACATATACTCGTATCTACATGCATATCTGCTATGTAAGTAAAAATTTTTAATATCTTTTTAGTTACTTATATGTATATATGCAATATAATTTTTTAAGATATTTTTAATATTTTATAACACTTAAATGCTCTATATATATAATATGGGAATATTTTAAAAATTAAAACATATAACACTTTTATTTTAAGGTACTCGTACATTATGATATTTTCATTATTATAACAAATTACAATGTATATATATATTGTACTTAAATAATATTGTAGTATAATATAGAAGATTTTAAAGTTTTTTGATTAAAATCTGCGCCTTGATATTTAAGTATGTTTAAAAAAATTAAAAACAAAATTTAAAATCTAGAGCGTAAGGCGAGAAATATTAAATTTAATCAAGGTATTAAAGTTAATTTTTTACTGCTTAGAAGTTGCATTATGTAACAAAAATTTGTAATTTGGAAGTTGCATTTTTGTAACAAATAACCGTAACTGCTATATATGGCAAATATAGCAGTTTCTAAAATTTCGCATTTTATTTTAATTAGTTCAGGCCATAAACCAGCCCAATCCACTTAAAGAATTTCAGTTCTCTTGTTTAATCTAATACACTAAATTCTCCAAATCTCCATTCTGAACTAGAGTCTCCAAATCTTTAATTTAAACTAGAGTCTCCAATCCTTTAATTATAATTTTAGAGTCTCTAATCCATTTAAGAGTCTCTAATATTTGTGATCTTTAAGAAAATTTCAGATTTCTGCAACTCATGAGTAGAAAGACGATGTTAAAAGTTGTTAACAAATAACAAATTTAAGAAAAAATTTTATTTAAGAATCCATTTCATGCAGATCATATAGAAAAATTCATTTATAATTACAATAGAATCCATGTTTTCTCGAGGTTTGCATAGTTTTAATACAATGAGTCTTCAAAGAATCACATTTTTATCAATTTGAGACACAATAATATTTTGTAAAAGGTGAAATAGGTTTCAAAAAAAAAAAAAAATTGAAAATTTTCTAAAACGTTTTTTTGTTTTTCTTATTCTGCTTGAACTCGTTTACTAATCATATAAATTCGAAATTTTATACAAAAATAAATCATAGTTTTTTCAACTACATTAAATACCATTGTCGGAGTCACACACGAAATAAATATAAATTTCCAGTAATGCTTTGTGTTACAGGTCTTAAATGTTTAGTAAAATATTCTTCTATACATGACATACAAATCTTTTGATTCAGCTTTAATTTAATTTTTTTATGAATACAAGTTGCATTGCACGTATATTCAAACCAGAGTAAAACTTTCAAAGGAAAAAATAAAAATAATTGCTTTAAATATTTAATAAGCAGCTTTTTTTTTTGTATTGTTACTATTTGCAAACCATTAAAATAATAATGTGTAATTGTAGTATGTAAAATACAAGTAAAAAATATATAAACATACATACATATTAACAAATATATTATTCTTACATTGAAGGATATTTAAAAATGTATTCACATTTTCCTTTAGAAATAAATTTGCGATAGTTTCTTCATATAGAGTTACAAAAGTGCAGATACTTTAGACTTAAAATATTAAAGAAATTTTAAAGAAACGTTAATTGTAAGCCATACTAACTATACGTGTATAAAAAATGCATTCTAGGAATTAAATGTACATAAGTATACAGTTTCGATTCGATGCCTTCGTATTACTATATGCCTTGTTATTAGATTTTTCATATTAACCCCAAAGTTTATATAAAAAACAAGAAATATAATATAAAATTTATTCATATAGAAAGTTACTGAATTCACCAATGATAAAAATTATTAAATTTTAATACATATGCATAAATCAAAATATTGCATACTTTTAGGGGTATATTAAAAAATTATTATATAATCGAACACGCTTAATATCACATAGAAAAATATCCAAGAATTTGTGATTTTAAGCGAATTGTAAAATTAAGCAATTAAGCAATCTTATTGAAAACGACGTACTTATTTTGAAAATAGCTGAAAGCGTTTTTAAATGACAAAAATATTTAAAAGAGATAGAAAAACTTAAAACAATAACAATTTTAAATTGTAATTAAGAGCTATTTCATGGGGTACATTCTGAAAAACGAAATGCGTTCGCATTCAATAGTTTTGTAAAAAAAATTTGACAACAAATGTCGTAAACAAAACGTTTTACACTTTTGGTTTAAAAGAGTAAGAATTGTTCGTCTAATTTTTTTGTAATTTTTTTTTTGTTGTTAAATTTAGATTTTGTAATTTTAAACGACCAAAATTGAATGAAATTACACATTTTAATGGTCGAGAATTACTTGATTTTAAGAGAGTTTCTATTAAGCAAATCTTGTATTAACCGAGTACGAATAAGTGAAAAAATATGTGGAGCTTTTCTTGTCAAAAATTTTGTGAATTTAACAAAGTTGTGATATTCAAAAAAATTTAATATTAAGCATATTTGACTGTATACTTACGATAATAAGTTTAATAAGAACACTTACACCTAATTATTAAAATATCACAAATAATTCATTTTATTACAATTTTAATTACATAAAATTTTCTTAAAATTTTGAATATTAAATTGATCTTAATCTGTAACAAAGTAATTACATACTAAGTTCTTGTACTTAATTTTTGTATACTTAATTTTTGTTTTAATTGTAAATGTGTGCTTTTCATAAATTGTTAAATTTAAAGAAAATTTATAAAGACAACTACCCCAAATCAAAACGAATTCAACAACCTATAGTTATAAGTATATTAAAGTAGTAAAGATGTAGTGTGATGGCACCAAATTTTGCATATCCAGTATTCGATTTTACATTTACCTCAAATTAATTTTATAAAATAAACAATACACCTTGAATTCGATTATGTGCTCACCATATCAGATTTTTGCTATTCTATAATCCATTTCTTTTTCTATGCATGAAATGAACAATTTCTTTCTTTTTATTTTTAACCAAATTTTAAAATTTTATTGATAAAATTGATATAGAGCTTAAAAAATTTTGTAAAAAATAATTGGTCTTTTCAATTTCTTAAGAAAAAAAACCATAAACAATTTTGAATAGTATAACCATTAAAATTCAAGAATCCTTTGAAAATTTAACAAGCAGTATAGTCATAACATAATTATTGGTTTATAACCTCAAAAAACTTATCTGACTATAATAATTTTAAACTGCATAAAATAGACTTACAAGTAACCTAACCAAAAAAAAACCAAATGAATATCTTTTTTCAATGCAGAAAAGTTTTTAAATGATTTTCTAAAGTTCATTAAAAAATTTCACAATTTGAATTTTGAACAACGTGATGCCAGACTTAATAAATCTTGGTCTTTCTTATAGTAAAATAATAAACTATATGAAAATTAAGTAACAAAAAATTTAAACTTACATAACATTCACACTATCTAATGAAAAATCGACAAAGTTGTCGTATATTACAAAAACAAAATTTTACAGGATTTTCATTAAAGTTTACTAAAAATTATTTTACCATTTTTTTTTTCTTTTCAGGGGGTTTTCTTTAATGCCAGCAAAGAGCAGCAAAGAGTACCAAATAGTAAGTACATACTCTTAATAATTTTGGATTTTGAATTCTGTACATTGGACGTTAAAACAAAAAAAAAAGCAATTTTGTAATTTTAATGAATTTTACGACGAAAAAAGGAGAAGAAACTTTTTATAAACTTTTGTTTACTTTTTTGTTCCGTGAAACACTTAAATTTTATGCAAATAAAGTAACAAACATGATTTCTCTTTAAACACGTACGTGTATGTGTACGAAAAATATGTAGAACAAGTCAAATATTCTTATTTATGTATATTTGTCTTATATATATATTTTACTTTTGAATATCCTTGAATATTCATATACAAAAAGAAAGGGATAAGAAAAAAGTATAGAAAAAAAATATTAAAAAAATTGTTAAAAGTTTCTTTATGAATTTTTGATAAAAAAAATGAAAACTTGTTGCGAAATTCAAAAATATTTTTCTTAAAAAATTGAGGTAAATTTTTTGTTTCCTCTTTGCATACAATAAGGAGGTTATGTGATGGTAACAATTATTGCATATCGAGTTTTCGATTGGAACGCGCTTCTCCTTAGTAGGAAAGCGTAAATAAACTATTTTTAAAGGGATGGTCTGTTTTGAGATACATGCACGCACGCATGAAATTTTATATATAAGTTTATTGAGGCTTTGTCATGGATTGATCAAATGGGATATGTCAGGCTTCGGGAACAGGATTTTTCTATCAATAATGGAAATAATCAACCAATTTCCTAAAAATTTAATATTTAAATTTGCGATGTTAAAACAATGAACCTATAAATTTTTTGAAAAGATCAAGACTCGGATGGATGATGGAATTTTTGTGTAGTATTCAGGGTTGATGAAATTTCTTGAAATTTGATGTTTGAGTAATATCAATTTTTTTTCTAGATTTTTTTTATTCACATAAATATAAAAATTGAAAGAGAAAGGAACAGATGCAAATTTGCCCATGCGAATTTTTTAATTTTATAAGCTACATCAGAACTGCGATCCGAATAATAAAATCTCGACTACACTTTCTTTTTCTTTTGATATAATGCCCTTCTTGTTTTAATTTTCCATGGAAAACTTTAATAAACTTCTTAGAAAATGTAGCAAATTCTAAAAACACTAAACAATTTTTATTTAAAAATTGTACTCCAACATGAAAACGCGACATTTTCCTTAGTACATGGACAATTTTCTGTCTGTCCTTTCAAAAATCTTATTAATTTGGTCAGTTATTTACTTAAATTAGTATTATAACGATCACAGTCAAAATTTCTCAAACTATTATATGTCATTTACATATACAGGGTATTTCACAAATAATTTCAAGAACAAATGTTTTTTGATCAATTTTTAGCAAAAAATTGTATGGTTGATGAAGGGTGTAAATAGACTCGTTTTCTAGTTACATCCTATTGAAAAAAATCTGATGTGGTCAGCACATAACCGACCGCATTGTGCATTGTCTAGTTAAGTGAAAGTGTTACAGAATATTATAAAAATGCCTGTTAATTACCTCTTTCCAATTTTTAGGACATTAATAAGCTTATAGTTAACATACCTAGAAAAATGTAAATTTGGCTCTTAGTAGAGTTTCGCTTCGTGCTACCCGAATTCCCAGAAATGCTCGCCAGTTAACCAGAACTCAAATATTAAATTTCAAGAAATTCCATCAATTCCGTAGTAAACGTCCAGTTGCTGACACCTGATTTCTTCCAAAAGTTTGAAGGTTTTGCGGCCGGTCGAGCGAAGCTTATATATGAAATTTCAAGCAAATCGGTTGAATAGTTTCTTTAAAATGATCAAATAGTTTCTTTAAAATGCAGTTCCCGAGGCCTGATATATCCCAAAAGTTGATCGATCCGTGCTATGGGGGAAACTCGATATGCAAAATTTGTTGCCATCACATAACCTACCTATTGTATACACAATACGGTCGGTAAAAAGGGTGCCAGATTTTTTTCTGAATATAATTAAATGCTTATAATCTTTAAAACCTTGCAACATAGAGTCACCATCGGGAACTTATTTTACATAAAATTGATTTCTCTTTATTTTCATTTTGAAAATCATTTGTTTTTGATTCATAATTCATAAACGAAATCATAAATTTATAATGAACTACGAAAAAAGTTCATATGTATATAAAAAAGTTAAATATATGTATGATGTATAAGGTGCGTGTAAATGTGTAGCAATGTTCATATCATTTAAGATTTCTATATAAAAAAAAAAATTTTATAATTAGTATACAAAAATACACGAGCATGCATAAATTGTACAAGTGAGTAGTAGTTGAATGAAATTTTTTATAAATATTTGTTTTTGAAAGTAAATATTGTTATTGTATTTTACATGTACACATATTATATACTATAAAGAAGTTTTAAGGTACACCAAGTAAAATGTTATTTTGACATTCTCATTCTTGGAAAATTTGGAATATTGGTGTTAATACTTTTAGAGCGTGCAACATTTTATTTTGCAATATTGTTCTACTTGAAAAACAAGTTAAGTTCTTGAACCTAATTGAAAGTTTTGTAAGGAAATTGTTCCCAGGTATTTAAGTGATCACTATAGTTATATGTATTGAAACATGTATACATGAATATATGTATATGTGTGCTTATATATGTGTACTAGTGCAGTACAATATTGATATTTAATCTATTTCCTAATTTTCAACAAAAATGACTGAAAATCAGAGTCAATGGGTTTCCCATTTCAATTTCATCGTAAATGTACAAAAAAAAATTTTTTTTTCAATTTAACCCTTTATCCATCTAACTTTAAGAAATATTGTTGTTGCTCTTTAAGAAGTTCTACATATATCAAACCTTTATAAATGATTTGTATATCACTAAAAATGGAAAATCGCTATAATGCATGTGGTGTTCCTGATTGAAGTACAAATAAAATTATCCAATATAAAATTAATGGTAATTGTGCTTAATAAGAAAACTGAATTTAAATATATACAAAATTTAAAATTTAGTACTTTACTTTAAAATTTCGGCAGGAATAAAAAGGATAATAATATGTGCAAAATAAAATTTAATATTAGAATTAAAAAAAAAAAATTTTTTTGGAAAAATGAAATTTATTCCAGACTTTTGAATGGAAAATGATTCGGTTGGAAAGAAGATTAAATATACGTTATAGCCCACATATGACTGATTATTTAGATATCTGAACTACTTTAAACGTAAACTTTGCAATATTTCATTTGCAATGCAAATGGACTTGTACTCACTTTTCCAAGAACCATCCAAGAGTTTTTTGTTTTATCTAAAAACAGAAATATTTCAGGAATAAAATTAAAAGGAAACAAAATTTAAATCAATATTCGGATCTTAATAACTGTTTGTTGTCGTCTCCTACAATGTTTGCCTGTTAATCCCAAAATCCTTTACAATATACAAAAGTCTACACAGACTGCGGTTTTTCATTAAATTTTCATAGATTACATTGCATATCGAAACTGTATCGTCTCTTTCAATATTTAACACTGACGGGTAATGTTTTGTAATAAAATTGAAAATTTCTATATAAATTCATTTTTCATATGCAATTCAATTACAACTGAAGGTTAGAACTTGTATTCAGAATGAAGAATTTGCAAACGGTAGCATAGAAACGTTTTTACATTAAATACACTGAATTTTTTCTTCAATTCTGCAGTTGTATAATTTTAGTCAAGATCTGCACTTGTAGTTGTAACATTGTTTGAAAATTCAAGTTCCAATCCTAAAATATTCAGGGCATACTAAAAATTTTATTATCATATTAATTATTAAGTAAATATATTCAAAATCATCGTTTTAGGAAGTTGTTAATAATAATTACAGCAATTTTTTTGAAGCAGAAATGCTATAATTGTCGAAGAATAATCTGTTACATTATTAAAATTACTTTCATTCATATACCAAAACATTTTGAAGATTGCATACATTTAGGGTGAATCAAAAAAAAAATTTAGAGAAGCTGTAACATAATGCCTGAATTTAAGGGTTAATTGTGTAAGTTAAGAAAAAAATAATTATTTTTTATTTAGGTGTATGAAAAGAAAACTCCCTTTTATTCGGAATACTTCTTTCCATACACCTAAATAAAAACCATTAATGAATTTTTTGAAAAATAATTATATTTTTTAATGGCATGGCATTTTTGGTTAGCTTTCTGCATTTATAGCAATTTAGAAAAGCTTGCAGTTTCGGAAATATAACGTATGCCGAAAATTTAAATTTTACAAATTTTAAAAGGCGATAACGTAAAACTTAACTACAACCTATATATATATATAACTACAACCTTTTGTTTAAAAGAGAAACGATATCAAAAATTTGAAAGCTAACGATTCATTTTAGCAATCATTTAGTCTTTTTAATATTCAATTATTTTGTGTTTTTGTAACAGAAGCCGGTCACAACTTTTTTGCTTTTCCAAAATTTAGAAAATATTTATGTTTTCTATAAAATAAATAATCGAAAATCGGCGTTTTTAGCTTTTTGAGGCTAAAAACGCCAATTTAAAGCTAAAACTTCTTAAAGAGGAAGATGGGTAAAAATTTTCTTTTAGAGAAATAAGTTTCTAGTACAAAGGTGTAGAAGTTTTATTAAGACGTCCAAGGACGGACAAACGGATAAACGGGAGAGCGGACAGAGGGAAACTATCAAGCACTTATTTTAAAAATTTTTTTTTTGGAAAAATATACTAATAATATGCTTACGAAATATATGCTAGGTGTGAAATATAGGCTAGGTTACTCACCCAATACGATGATAACTTAAAGTTTTTTTGATTTAATGCAAATTAATAATTTTAGTTGAATTGTAATACAATAAGTGTTGGGTTTTAAATTCTCAAAAAGAACATAATATTAAATATATATGTGAAACACAATATACACTAAATTAATTTCGTAGGTGAATTTTTCAGAAAAAATATGTCAATGGCAAAGTAACCAATTAACTATATACGGTTTATGAATAAAAAACTTACACTTTCTAAAACTAAC